AATACATGCAGAACGTTACAAATATATTAGGAAAAGCTATTTATAAACGACATTGATACACATAAATTATTAAATGTGAATATTAAGAACATTAAAAAAAGTTATTAAGCTCTTTCTTTAAAATATGAAAGAAGTGGGATGTAAGGGTTTCAAGATGAAACATGCGCCGTCAACATATGAAGTCAAGAAGGCGGAAAAATTAATTTGAAATTTTAGCGGCACTGAAAGTTCCCTGCATAATGTTCCAAGAAAATAATTACATACATTTTACTTGACGCCGGATAAATTATACGTGTTTTGAATTTGAAAATAGTAAGAAAGAAACGAAATTAATTTTAAAGTGTATGTAATTGCTCGAATCTATTAAATTGTCAACTAAACAACTTCGTACATTTTACTTTAATTAATACTAGCTGGTACTCGGCGCGTCGCTGCTGCAGAAGAAATAACAAAGAATAGTAATATTGTTTAATTAGGAAAGTTAATAATTAATTTTCTGATGAAAAAACGATAATAATAATATTATATTAAAAATATATTATATATATATATATATATATACATATATATATACATATATATATTAAAAATATATTATATATATATATATATATATATATATATATATATATATATATATATATATATATATTTATATATGTGTAATAAGTATTTAATAAGTATTCGGTATAGAAGATAAGCACCTGCTAAGCGCGGTAATTAAGCCAAATCCTTCTTACAGTAGAAGAGGCCCATGTCCTGTAGTGGACTGTTAAAATATTAGAAATTAGGAGTTAATAAAGAAGAAGAAGAAAAAGACTGATTACTCTATATATTTGTCGAGTAGCAACGGCGTGTTCTTGTTATATAAAGTATATAGAAACGTGTAGCATCACAGGAGCGAGACCTCCGGTAATGTGATTGCCAATCCATCTTCCACGTAGCCTTGTCACTGCTGCAACGAAACTATGAATAATACCCTGTTTGTTTTGGTTTTTGAAATGTTGTAGTATTAAATAAATGTTTCTTTTGTTTTGTTATTGTCTAATATTTGACATAAGTACTAACAGAAAATGCGGTAGACTATTACCGATTTATCTCAAAAACCAAGATAAACTTTACATAGACCACGAGTATAAAGTAGTGGCTTTAGTTTGAAGTTGACTGTTTTTCAAATTTCAAGAGGTACTATGTAGTAGCGTTTTTATGGGTCTTGGCTAAATTGTGCTCACAGATAACTCACAACAATATGTTAACAATATAAAGTGTAAAAATTATATACGTATATTTAATAAAGCTAAACTATTTGTCTTCATTTCAATAAAATAATTTTATTTAATATCAGATCAAAAGCGGCGGATACCTCCTTGCCTAAAACCTTTTCTGAAATGAGCATGTGCCTAGTGTCTATGTGCCCAGCAGTGAAACGTAACCAGTTAACCCTTCTAATGCTGGGACGTCACATATCGAGAGGACATTCTTGCGAGAATACTTCGTCATCAGCCTACGACGAATGTATATAACTTCAGAATTGCGTTATAGCGATGTTCTATATCTATTGTAACATGAAACGCCAAAAAAATAAAATAACAAAACGGTTATTATTTTATTTTGTAGCGCCAAATAATTATTTGCTATATTTACATTATTTTTATTCGGTTCTTTTGAATTCCATAATATCGGTTACGCCTCGTAATTAAATTAAAATTTTTTGCCATTGCTCGTATCCATTTTTAACAGCCACAAACTATACCCAGTTTAAATCAATAAGTGCGTCGCCTGAAGTATAGAGTAGAATGACTATTAAGAACTGTGGGCACGCAAGCAAAGCTGATCGTGATACTTTGTTATGCGAGAGTTTATCGACAGCTGAGAGCTGAGACTCTTTGCGACAATTTGACTACGGACACCGCGATAATGCGACTATACATACACGTTATCTCGTTGCTTTAGCATTTCAATCAATCCTATGCTATGAAGTAAAGTAGTTTTTGCAGGAAGTTTGAAACTGTAGTACTAAAAATCTGTTTTGTTTTGTTTGAAGGTTTTAAATAATTTTTAGAAAGAAGGAGGATAAATTCAAAATATAACATAATTTAAACTAATTTTGAAAAGTACTAGAATGGAAATGAAGGAATCCGGAAGAAAAATTGAGTTTAATATTGAAAGTGGGTATATAGGTTATATAAAGTCAATTTTTCTTTTATTTACAATAAAACTTGTACATTATTAAAGATTAGGTTAAATAATCTGAAAATGCCATTCCGCCATTTCTTATGCCGAAAACTTGATGAAATACCACGCCCAGAACCAGTTTAAATTTAATAAAGTACAAAAACTCGTACTAACAGTTAGTAGTAATAAAATTAACAGCTAAACCATTTTTCTAATAAGAAATTTTCTTAAACCAAAGTTAAAACCTGAGACTAAAATGTTGCGATTATTATACCATGCTCGAGACTATCTACCATCACCTTTTATAATGAGACGGAACAATGTTTTATTAGAATGATTATGGACAAAATGAAGGAAGGAAGAGAACGTTCGCAAATTCAGAGTGTGGTCGTCTTTGACTTACGTGTTATTAATATCCGAAGTTTGAATACATAAGAGGGTACTCGGTATTCGATCTCGTTAAATCGCTTCCTTAACAGTCTCCCCGATACTCGTTATTGCAGATAATAAAAATGGTAGGAAACGATTGAATGTTAGGGAAAATTCAATCATAATTTTGTTATTGAAGCAAGTGCACGATATTTTCGAGTATTCATGCTTATATTGAATTTATCTATCAAGAAGTAGGTTATTGAAATATAGTAATTAGTTAGTGTAAAATTTTATTTCTTAGAAAGCAGATTATACATAAATCATCAGTAATATATGTGTTATCAATCTTGTTAATACTTATGTAATAAATGTAGGAATTTACTACAAACGAATTTACAACGTAATGTATGGCTCACACAAATGTGAAAATAAGTTTGTTTCAATTCTATTATCGAAGTGTAGCCCGCTAAATTCAAAATATTTTTGAATAGGATATTTGCCTATCTAGCCAAGTGAGATACTTTTATGAACCACATAAATGTGATTGCATCATATTTTTCTTTGTAACTGTATATAGACGTTATAATTATATGACTAATGCAAGTTCGATATACACCCGTCCGATGCCTGACACACGACTGTTCGACGAACGATTGAGCGTATTCAGTATCTATTATTCAGTTTGTTTTTAACAATTTTTTAATAATCGTCGAGTGGTGTACCGCACCTCACTGCATGCATAATGTAAGCTACAATACGAAAAACACAAGAAAATTTTAGTTTTATACGTGGTAGAGCCATGCTGCAGCTATATTAGTAGTATAGCTGTAGCGCGAATGGATCGGCTCGACCGGGGAAGGACCACGCTCTTACAGAATACCAGCGTAAAATAGCAGCTTGACACTACTGTGTTTCGTATGGTGAGTGTAGACTTATTTTTCACCGGACTGGATCCTTTGACAACGAAGATATTTCTTAATTTTAGCATGGTCAAGAATTTCTACGTTTTCTTGCTTCAAATACTCAATGGTTTGACCAGTGCTGCATGAGCTTGCGTCGTCATGGAGTAGGATGATGCGTCGCTTTGGGTTAGATTTCCGAAGTTCAGCGGTGACTTGTGGTAAACAAACTGTGGTATACCACTCTGCATTAACCGTTCTACGATCTTTAAGTGCAATCGTCGCAACATGGCCGGTTTTCGATATGAACGTGGCCACCATTTTCTTTGAAGTGCTTCGAGAGCGAAAACTTTAGTCGGCTTGGGCTCGTCTTGGAAGACTAAGAAGAAGATTGTTTAAATCGGGATCGTAGGCATAGATCCAAGATTCATCAACAGTTATGATATCGTACACATGATTAGACTCTCCTCGGTTGAAGAACCTTTGAAGAGTTTTCGTCCACCATCTGACGCGGGTCGCCTTATGATCGTCGGAAAGTAAATGCGGGATCCCACGGCAAATTAGCTTTCTCACACCAAGCGCATCATGCAAGATCTTCTGAATGTTTGTCCCTGAGATGGTTAACAACGCTTATATCTCGCAATATGTCACATGACGATCTTCGAGAATTAGTTTTCTCACAGCAACGATGTTATCTTCAGCAAATGCGGATTTGGCGGATATATATGACCACGCAGTTACTATTCGTTATTATTTATTATTTTTATTTTTATTATTAACATCAAAAAGGTCTGGCAAATAGCAATTTAATATGTTCAGTATTCATTATATATAATGATCAAAATATACCCTTATAATAAACAATTTATGATGATGCCCCATGTCTGAGGACTGTCGAACGCTGGTATTTAGAATTCCAGCGTGGACATGCCAAAAAGGCTATTTAAAATATTAAGTCACAAAATTTATATCTTAAGCCACTAACTTTCGCCAATTCTCCACTAAATCTTGAAAATTTAGGATATCGTTAGGGAGGATTCCAGCTTGAATGGTGCAATATACATACTCGTATAAGTGATTTGGTAATAATAGTAATAAGTGAGTTGTAGTATTATGCATGGAGTACTGCTGTCACATATGGGCTGTTTTCGCAAAATGCCAACTGGCTGCGCTGGACTCGGTGGAGAGACGTGCTAAGAGGTTCATTGGTGACCATGATTTGGATGAAATCAATTTTGTTAGCCTCGAGCACAGCCGCAGAGAAGCCAGTCTCTCGGTATTCTATAGGATATATTTCGGTGAGTGTGCGCAGGAATTACACGCTTTAATTCCTTCGTCTTCTTTCCGCCATCGGACAACCAAGCGGTCGACAGATCTTCACCCCTTTGTTGTCGATATTCTTTGCCCTAAAACTCTCTCAGAAATGAGAGGAGGCCTGTGCCCAGCAGTGGGTCAAATATAGGCTATAACTTTAAATCTTAAATTTTATTCAGGTTGAGCGACAGTGCGAAATGCGGCGCGGGCGGTACGACAGTGCCAGTGAGTAGGCAGTGGATGATGGGTGTTGGTGGGACGGGGTACACAGGCGCGGGGCTCGCTAGGCGACCGCCCGCGGCGCCGCGTACTCGCATGTCGGCGTCGGGCTCACAGCGCTCGCTGCTGTCGGTCGCCAGCGACAGTGCCACGTCGCGCCGCCCCCGTGAAATCACACCGCGCGGCTACCCTCATCCCGCCGACGGTGGCTTTTCTCTCTTCGTGAGTGGGCGCTTCGCTTTCTAACAATCTTCCGCAATCTGACGACCCTCTTAGTTATCAAGTAGTTTGGCCCTTAAATATTAATTAATATTGCTTCATTGATCAAATGAAAGGCCGAGTAATTTGATATGACGTTAAGATAAATTAAAATTATATATAAATATCATGATAAATAATAAAAATACGACTGAGGAAAACACAAATTTTCAATAATAATCTTCCATCCATGAAAAAAATTCTTTACTTACTTGAGATAAACATTTTGAGAGATAATATCAAAAATGATTGTCTTTTTTAAAGTTAAATACAATTATAGGTATTGTAATTGTCTTAATTGTAGTTTGAAGTCTAAGATAAACATTAATAAATAAAAAAATAAATATTTCCATTTCTACGCTGAAACTTTATTCCTATTTTAATAAAATTATATTTAATGTACATATTTCAAAAAACTTATTCAATAAATATTTCTAATTAAAACATTAAAGTAAAGTTGGTAAATTTATTTAAGTTTATTTATGCAAATTGTGAGATTATACATAAAAATCATTTCCATCAGTTTCATGTACTTTTCAACAAAATTTTTCTCATACTATAATAAGATTTTCTCTTTCGTTTTACATTGTCATAATTTTAAGTATAATGTCTACAAAAGGCATGAAAAAACGACGTTAAAATGTACAGAAATAGGATGATTTGCAGAGCTGGATGTTCGGCGTGTGTTTGCCATGCACGCTAAACTTCCCGCCCCGTCGAACGCTACCCACTGAAAATAAGAACCTTACTGTTGCCATTATTGAATATTACATTCTATATTATCATATATCTATAATAAGTTATGTATATATAGTGGCATTGTTGGATAGTCTAATTCACTGACGAACTTCTTTCAACTAGAAACAGCATCATTAGAACTTTGTCCTGCGAACGTAACTTTCACTGTAACTTATTTCAAACTATGCTTCGAGGGGCTTTAATTCTACTATTACGAATAGTGAAGTGCTAAAACTAATATAAAGTCCGTTTCATAGCGTTCTTTACAACACAGTTTTAAATGCAGAACTTCGCTTTACTATATATTCCGTTTCTTGTAGTTGCGTTTATATTTTTCAATTTCAGCCACTGTTAGTATAGACGTAGTTTGAATTGCATTTGATTATTGGGATACGCAGAGACATGCTAGCAACAACAACATATTGGTCGGCGAGAGCGGATCACTGGCGCGGCGGTACGCGCGGCCGTCACGGGAGTCGCGGGAGGCTCGCGATCACAATGCGAACGTGGCGCGAACGCACGCGCGGCTCGCGCACCACGCGCACCACGCGCACGTGCGACACGACAACACACTCGACATTATCCTTAAGCCACTCATTGAGAGCACGCAGTAAGTAAGGCTCGCAGCAACACATCACTATGGCCGACTTAACAAGCCACTCTCAGCTTTGAATCTAAACACTGTTCAATTTTACTATGTTTTTATCAAGATTTTTCATATTTAAGTATTGTCCTCAGGGCTGGGAGTAATTAATCGCGCTCTTCAGGTAAAAAACGCTGTTGAGTTTTATTGTTTTTAACCAAGATATTTTCTGTTAAAGCATTGTTCTTACAACTGAGAGTAATTGATCGTGCTCTTCAGGTAAAGTTTAAATTAAAGAGTGTTCGTTAAGGGCGGTTCGTAAAGTTTGAGAGAGGATTTTTAACAAGGCCTGTGTGTCGTATGTCGCAACGTAGCGGAATGTTAGCTGCACGTATTGGTTTGTTCGTCTCCCTCTCGGTTTCTCACGGAGGCACGTTTTGTTATGTATTTATTTGTTTGTCTCTATTAGTGCATGCGGGATGGGGTTAGAATGGTTGATGATGGGATTAGCTTAGAATGCAAAACTAACATACTGACTAACAGTTAATCCTAAACCTTTTAAATTAGGTATATTTTATTTTGTGTATATTGTGTTTATTTATTTTAATGTGTGTTCAGTGATTAAAACATTTATTAATTTTGTGTTTACCGCTGTTCAAATTTTGGATACGTGCAAATATTAGATATCCAAATTATAATTAATATTATCAAATCTTTATAACACAGGCTTCAGAGCAATTAAAGACGTCTGAAGTATCACCTGGATTGAAAGATCCAGCACCGGGATCTGGCGACATCGGCCAACAAGGGACTGCAGAAATGAGTACTGAACTGTAAAGACGTTACGATAGTTAAAGCTATTTATATATTGTGCGACGATGTACGAGTATAAAAAAGCTATTTACGGTAATCTTTTTTACCAAGAATTTAATTTCCAAAGGGAATTTAAATCCCTTAACTTAATAATTTTATTAAATTTAAATTGGGCGATCTAGGCGCTTTTATTATGGCTAAAAGAAGTCTGTTTGAATAATTCATCCTTACTCATTTTTCCGCCAAGTAATGATGGGTTCCAGTTCAGAAGATATGGAGAGCCAGTAAAATACCAGTTGTAAGGCATTCTATCTTAGTCCTCGGATATGACAACGCACCTGTTGCTGCTACGTTTCTTAATGCTTCTTTGTCCGAAGTTGGACAACAATAACTGTATTTTATCAGGTAGACTGCATGCCTGTTTGCTACTTTAAAGTTACAAAAATCAATTGAATTAATTCCAAACCAATAATTCAAATTTTTTAAAGCATGAATGAAAAAAAAATACCATTAGAAACGTTTTAGTTTTCTTTACTTTATAATCTTATACATCAAATAATTAAATATTTATCTCACTTACAATAACAAAAATTTTGTATCACAATAACGCAAGTAATATCAGTTCTACGTTGCTATGAATGAAATAGGTAGCTAGTGGAATATTCGAGAAAAAATTTAACGAGTAAATATCTGGCCAAGAATTGTTGCCCGGCAACAGTTTGTTAGTAAATGTTTCCTGTCGACATTATTAGGAATGCTGATATCAATTTATATTTTGGGAAATGAGTAAAGTTTCAGATCGTCGTAATATTACCAATTATTTTGTCAGAAAATTACTACATTTTATAACAAAATACAGAAAATTGTAATGTCCGTAGTTTTGTTTTTTGTAAATATTTTTGTGTATATAATAATAAACTTGCAGTGCTTAAATAAGAGTATAGCGTAGTTTTAAGTTTGATCTACTAACGAAAACTGCGATATATATGACTACGAACATCTATATATTAAGATATATTTTTGTGCCAAAGAGGTTCGCTAGGTACGCTATTAAATAAACATTGCAGTAATAAGCTCTTTTGCAAAAAAACGGATACCCAAGTAAGGAATCAATTTTATTGTTACTATTAGATTGTTTGATAATATTAGATAGTTTTATAGTTAAAATTTATTCCTGCCAAAACGTAACAGAACCCCCACCATAAGGTGTAATCATTTCAAAACATGCCTCTGCAAAGCGTTCTCTTTGTTTTCGTACCATTCGTCGACGGCGGTCTTCGACGTACAGAGATATTATGGCTTCATCGGAGAATAATACCCTATTCCAGTCTTCTTGAGTCCATGGCACATAATTTCGAGCAAAGCTAAGCCTGACAACTCGGTGATCATGGAGTACTTTAGGCTTTATTACATACTTCTTCGAGGTTGTTCTCGAGGTTGATATACCAAGATTTGCGTTTATCAACGCTTGGCCCGACAGAAAACGATCATGTCAAGGAAATGAGATAATTCAATAAAAATAGACTAAAAGTTATTTAGAGTCGACATTAACTTTTGGAAGTTTGCGCCACAGAATGTAGTATAAAGTTGTTTTCTTTAAAAACCAGCCTCAGACAAAAATTTGAATTGAGAACGTACTTTTTTGAACTTTACGGAACTTTAATAACCAGCCAGTAACATGTCCAAAAGATTAAAACCTTTTTCGTATTTTTCTTTTTCATGCAGGTAAAAATCAAAACCACCCGTTTCTTTGCAATTGAGTGTATATTATTACCTACTAGTCTATATGACTAGGTACATATTATTGGCAACTTTTTAATTTTGTTGTACATATTAGGTTACCAATTCTAACTAATGGTTTCTTTACTTTTATGCTTTGTTTAAGGAAGATATTATGATAATTCTGTAGTACGATAATTTAGTTACAAATATTTTACAGTATAGCCCAAAATGGGATTATGGAATGTTTAATCTTTATAGTTCATTTTATAGAAAACTATTGAATATGATTATTTATTGATTTGTATACAACGGGTATTATTAGACTTTATTATTAAATTTCTTCCTTATGCTTTATGGCCAAGTTGTACAGTTGTTATGTAGCTTAGTGGGATATAAAAGTAAATACAAAATCCAGTTAGACTACTTAAGTATAAATATGACGAAAGCGGACTATTTCGATAGTTAGTAGAAAAAAGAGTGTGTCAGCTCCGACGCACGACTGGAGTTTACTCCTTACGAACGATCGAGTAGTAAATGAGGGTAAAAGAACGCATTTTTTATTTTAATGAAAGCATGCATTATACATTTATTTATATTAATTGTATAATTTATAAACAGTAGTACAGCCGAGAGTACTCTGTGCTGGAGGCTGCGCAAAATAAGTTGTGCACGATATTACGAGGTCATGGAAACATGAATACATAACGTAACGCATGACGTATCGTTTGATTTTGCTCCCCATAAATTTTTATACCCCGGGCTTATATATAAAACTCGATTCTTAAGGAGTAAACTTTAAAAACCTTTTTCAATTGTGGTACATTTATTCTTAGGGATCGAGAGCCAAAAATTCTCATTTTGAAATGTTTACCATATTGTATCTGGATCTGGAGTATGGAATGTAATATACCAATATTATTGTTTATAAAATTTGTAAACTATTTTTAAATACTTCCTTATTATCCTAAAAGCCTTTTCAGAAATTGAACTACGAAAATTTGTGTCAATTTTTATTACCATGTCAAGACTGACAGATAAGTTTTTTAAATATCTACAACCCGAAGTGTAACCGATAACTGTTTTTAAGATGTATTTTTTCAGAATTGTTCTTATTGTTCATTAAACGATAATATTACGAAAACAATGATGTTTTATTCTCGAAATTAAGTGATGATGATTTATGTAAAAAGAAAGGCTATAGCTGGCTATAATTTCGTTAACGATTTATAAAATAACTGCCTTAATAGGCATAGTTATTTTTTTACACTCTCAAGATATTTTAGCACGGGAATCCCAAGCTACGACTGCTAGTGTTTTAGCGGGTATAAAACACGTTATATAATACGAGTATTTCATTCATCATCATTACAGCCCTTCACAAGTCCACTGCTGAACATAGGCCTCCCCCAAAGAATGCCACAAAGCACGGTCCTGAGACACCTGCATCCATCGACTTCCTGCATATCTTACCAGGTCGTCACTCCATCTAGTGGGGGGACGCCCTACACTTCGCCTGCCGGTACGAGGCTGCCACTCGAGAACCTTTCTTCCCCATCGGTTGTCGGTTCTTCGAGCTATATGGCCGGCCCATTGCCACTTCAGCTTACTAATCCGTTGGGCTATGTCGGTCACTCTAGTTCTACTGCGGATATCCTCATTTCTGAGTTTATCACGCAGAGAAACTCCGAGCATAGCCCTCTCCATAGCTCGCTGAGCGACCTTGAGCTTCCTCATCCGGCCAGCAGTGAAGGACCACGTCTCAGTTCCGTATGTCATCACTGGCAACACGCACTGGGTGTACAGTCTCATTTTCAAGTTTTGAGGTATACCTGACGAGAAGATGTGCCGTAATTTCCCGAACGCTGCCCAACCGAGTTGAATCCGTCGATTGACCTCTCGGTCGAAGTTGGACTTACCTAGTCGGACTATTTGTCCCAGGTAAACATACTCGTCAACAACTTCGAGCTTAGTGTTCCCAACAACTACCGGCATGGGTGTGACATGGACATTAAACATGATCTTTGTTTTGTCCATGTTCATCTTAAGACCTATCCGTTGGGAAACACTATTGAGGTCATTGAGCATAGTGCTTAGGTCCTCCAGCGATTCTGCCATAAGGACTATATCGTCGGCAAATCGAAGGTGAGTGATGTACTCGCCATTGATGTTGATACCGTATCCTTTCCAGTCCAGAAGCTTGAAAACATCTTCCAATGCAGCGGTAAAGAGTTTCGGGGATATGACGTCACCCTGTCTTACACCTCTCTGCAATTGGATAGGTTTCGTACTCTGGTTCTGTACTCGGATAGCCATCGTAGCCCTACTGTACAAGCACTTCAACACTTCGATATACCGACAGTCAACTTGGCATCGCTGAAGGGACTGCAGCACCGCCCAAATTTCGACGGAATCAAAGGCTTTCTCATAGTCCACATACGCCAGACATAGTGGTAAATTGTACTCTTCGGACTTCTGTACAATTTGCCGAAGGGTATGTATGGTGCTAAAGCCTTTTCGGAAACCGGCTTGTTCGGGAGGCTGGAAGTCGTCAAGTCTGCGCGCGAGACGATTCGTAATGACTCTCGAAAACAGCACGTAGACGCGGCTCAGAAGGGAAATCGGTCTGTAGTTCTTCAAGAAAGCGTTATACGAGTATTTGTAGCCCATCAATTAATTTACCTAACAGTATAATATGCATCTATTTGAAAACAATGTAATTGTAATATACCTTATTACAATTTAAATTTAATTTCGTAACATAATATTTAATCGATGGAAAGACATTTTTTTTAAAACGGTTCTTCGACTGATAATAGGTATTTAGTTCTTAGTTTTGTTGGAGTACATTTATTTACCAAAATAATGTGACCCTTACAGATTTTGCTGAGGTATAGAATAATTTACACGTTTATTTGTATTTAATACAACAATAATAATATACATATAGTGATAATTTCGAAGATCGAAGAAATAGCTTCTTAAAACTTAAACTCAGTGGTCGATTGATTTGTCTTTAAATACTGAGCTCTTGCCATCAATGTTAATAGATAATAATAATATATCTAGTGGAAGGTAAAAAATACCTTGAACTTTAATGTAATAGATTAAAGGTTAGTCATAGACTTTATTAGTTTCCCTTCCTGTAAAAACGATTTTTCGTAGCAGATAGTACTTAATTTCCGGTTAGCTTTTTCATCCCCTACTTCA